ATGTGTGTATATATATATATATATATATGCATTAAATTAAAAGAAGAAGCAACACATTATGAATGAAGGAAACAAAAGCAATGAAAAAAAACGAAACGTTGTTAGAAAAAATATCGGTTAGAGAGTAATAAATCTAGATAAACTAGATTGAAGTTTTTTTAGAGCTAATTGGACATGGATCAACTATTCTTTTAAAAGTAAGTTCTATGTAAGTTATAAGAACACCATATCAATTTAGTACCGCAAGGAGTCGCTTTGTTTCAATTCCCGTATCAATATACCAAGCTTCTTTACTTGCGGTAGTGAATAAGTCAAATACGTTGGATAAGATATTCGGGCTTCTTAACAAATGGACAAGAAAAGAATCCCGGTAAGCAATAATCTATTTACTGGTACACCAGGCGTGGCGTGGATCGAATCTTGAACACACCTAGTTCCAATAAAGTAAGACCTCACCTCTCGATAGCAATAATAATATATACGAAAAGAGCATTGCCAGTTTCAATAACGTCTGCATTTTCATTAAAATAATGCATAGAATTAATACACTGATAAAAAAAAACGAAAATTATCAGGTTAGAATTTTTTTTCTGTTAACAAACCTTTAAATTAGATATATTTTGTATACTAGAAGCATATAAGTTAGCTATGTGATAATATGTAATAATAAAGATTATTAAAGCTAAATAAGTTATTCAAACAAAAAAAACATTCAGTGCAAATAAGAAAGGTTTCCTAAAGGCGTTGAAATATGACGTCTATCGACCAGTAGCCCAAACACGTCAATTGGAATAACCAACAAACATAGAAGCGACAGATTTCTAACGTTTCTATTAACAGGAATGAAATAATATACTAAAATTTAACTAGTAAAATCAAATTAATTCGTAAGTTTTAAATATATATTTAAGACTACATATCATGAAGATTTTGAAGATAGGTACAATGAGTATAAATAATAATAATATATTTATATAATAATATATAGATATATTTTAATCTTTTAATTAGTTTCATGGACATTTCACATAAAACAAAATATAAAAGAACTTAATCAGCGATACGAACTTCCTTCTAGGCTACTTGACAGACGTTCTAAATTATCTGTGACTAATAAATTAACTATTTACAAAGTTCTCATTAAACCACTTTGGACATATGGGATTGAACTATGGAGAACGGCAAAGAAATCAAATATAAAAATCAACCAATTATTCCAATCAAACGTCCTCCGGAAAATTGTAGACGCACCCTTTTATGTTTCAAACCTCACGTTACATACTGACCTGAACACTCCTTTCATCACGGCAACTGCCACTGACCGCTTTAATAATTTTCTTGAGACTGACTCTTAATTCAAATCCACTTACTTAAGCTCTATCGACTGCTACAAATTCATATAATCCGCCCAGAAGTCTGCTGAGGCGCTGGCCAAGAGACTTATTAAGTAGGCATTGAGCTACTTGCTGTATTATCTTTTTTTTTGTGTGTTATTATGTGTTATTTTACTACTGTTTTTGTTCTGTTATTACTATTCTTTTTTTTTTTTTATGCTATCATTTATTCTCCTTGATATCATATTTGCTGAATACCGAGGTAGATGGCAAATATATTGTGAGCCAGGAATATGTGTGACCAATAAATAAATAAAAATAAATGCAATTAGTTTCAAGGTGTCTGCTAAGTGCCGGTAATAATCTTTTATAGTTTTTTGTACAATACTCTGTAACTAAATTACAATTGACAGAATATTAAATTTTAAATAGCAGTTAAAACGTGTAACCACTTATTACCTGAATGGGACAAAAACAATGGACGAATTGAGAAATGATTTGAGCGTCAATATAGAAGATAATTACGAAAATAATTTTTTATAAAAATTCCTTAACATCAATAGTAATAATTGGCTACTCTTTCGTTTTTATGCTGTTACATGTTTTTAATTAATTACCTCTATATATATTTTTTTTAATAGAAGCTTTAAGATTTTACCATTTTTTATTTGATATGTATTTAGTTAATAATTAATAAATAATAAAACTCTTTTTCTCTAAAAGTTCTCGAGACTGGGAAGCGCCATCGACCTAGAGACAGGCAGATCCACGTGGCATCGACCAAAGAAGTCTTGGTTGGCACCGCACGACCTAGACGAAGCCCCACCGTTCTGTCCTACCAAACGATCAATTCACCATAGCAACAATATTATAATAATAAATATTATAAATTAAGAAATGTGCAATTAATAATAAATTAGTCGATATAATAAAATTTTAAAAATATGGAACTAATCAGAGGGTGTGATGAAGGAAAGAATGAAGTTTTTAAAATTTATCATATCTAGAGTAATGTACGGCTTGGTTTTGGTTAGTTTGTTAAAGTGAGATGTACAAGATGAAAGAGGAAATATCGAAATACATCTTCAGTTTAATAATGATATAAATCGATTTAAAAGAAAAAAAAAATTCTTTAATCATCAAATGTATAATGCCGTACTGAAAATCCGTTTTCAAGCTCTCAAGATTAATGGATTTTGATGAGTGAAGGATCAAACGATACGGAATTTCATGTGGAAATGATGATTCCCAATTTTAAAAGTTAAAATTTCACTGCAACTACAATAAAATTCTATGGAAACATGTTTGTAATTTTAAAAAATCTGGTGAGTCCACTCACAAAACTTTCCTAAATATTTCAGAAAAGTTTTTATATGTTTTAATATGTCCATTAAGAAAAAAAAAAATTGAATTAGATTCATTTTCATGAAAATTTATCAAAGAAAAGATTTGAATAGGAATTCTTTTATATATTAAAGCATCATGATCGGCTTGTGGAAGATCAGTGTAAACAATCCAATAAATTACAAAATTAATAATAAAAAACTATTTAGGTATTAACTAACCCAATTTTGTCAAACAATAATTTCTTTTAAAAGTAGAGGAAATAGTGAAACTTGTGTGATGCGGGCACTAGATCTTTTAACTTTCGCTTACTATTCTTTTTTTCTGCTCTTTCTGGTACCGGAATTCGAAATCATAATTTTGCATAAGAAATTTAATAGCTGCATCTTCGTTAATAGTGGTCCCACATGAACGATTTTTATATTGTTTTGTAGAGAATACCATCCATCACCTTTCAAAAGTTTGTATATAAATTTTCCCATAGCATATGTATATATATATATATATATATATATATATATATATATATATATATATATATACTTAGCGAGTTAGGGCCCCAAAACATTTTTCTTTTCTTTATAACTTTTTTCCCTGAATTTTCTCGGGAATTTAGTGCATATACGAACATTCAAAGTAGATTAATTAGAAAATTTTAGGAAAGTTTCATCAAAATCTTTGGAGCCCTCTTTACACAACAGACAATAGAAAAATATGTTTTTCACTTATTAAACAGGCACTACTGCTCAGGGAGCATCCGATTTGTGTCACAGGCATCACTGAAAAGGAGAAGGATTGTTATAATGATTCCGAACAAAGCATAGCGTAGTATTTTACAAATATTTATGATAAGGAAAGATCATTGTGGGTTTTACTAAACCAGCAGCACTGTACTCATACGGTTTTAATTAAATGGAACTAATTGTATACATTTAAATTATAACATAAGATAAACACCCAAGACTCAGTCCTTAAACCACTCGACATTCATTAAATCTAGGACATTGTATAGAGCCTTCGCCACAAAATCGGCGCTCATCAATTTCTACATAGAATATTAATCACTTCAGAAACCGCGGACAGAATTCATAATGAACCATAAGTACCGTTGTGGAGGTATCCATTGAAACAACAATACTTTACCAAACGATATTATCTCGCTAATTAAGTACTTTAAGTTAACGGCGAAGGGAGGAATTACATGCATTCAACGATGCTTCGGCTAATTTTCAACTTTGTTGAGATTGCTTAATTATCAGGCATGGTTTAACACGGAACTCAATCTACATGTAATAGTATAAATTATCATAATACTTCCTCTATTACGAGTAATCGCTAACCGTAAAGCACGGCTGAAAGGAAGACTAGAATGCGAAATTTGCAGTGGGATATCTCATTTAACACCACAGAAGTGCACCATTCACCGTTCTAAAGCATAGCATGAATTTCGAATTTCGTATGTCTTCGATATTCGTCCATTATTTATCGAACATATACAAGATAAAAAAAAAAATCTTTGCTCCAACTAGAAACGAAGCTAATAACCCTTAGCACAAGAATAATTATGCATCATTAGAATATACTCCCCTTAATTGGACTTAAACGGTCAACCTTAACCTTCCTAATAAATATATTTCCCATTAATTAGAATTAACTTGTCCTGCAACTTTAAAAACATCGTTTAGATAGCCTGATCGGTCTCACACTGTTCGAGTTGAGGTAACGGGTACCGATTTTTTTTTTTTTTGTTTTGCTTGGGCAACAAGCTCGATTGTTTACTCAAGTTTACTTTTTGTTCCTGTGAAACATGAAAGAACTACCTGGAATAACAGGATGTACGCCTCCTTGACCAAACTGGGTTGAACGGTCGATTAACCCAGGAGTAATACAGAAAACTTGGAATAACAATGATACCTATATTGATTACAAACCAAGAGATTTAAATCATCTTCATTACAATACAAACTTAATTGTAAGGATTACTTAAACGGAATTCCAACTATTTTTTATAGCTTCCGATTCCAACTAGATTTATCGAATACAAGAGTCCAAGTATAATCCCTCAGAGTGGATGGATATCCTGTATATATATATATGTAAAGTTTTATCAGCATTTAGTTAAAAACCTTTTTGTTGAGTACTGTTTAAGTATATAATACCATCTGGAAAAGGATCAATAACGAGTACAAAAAACACAGGTCATATATAACAGGAAGGAGGCTTAAGAAACAAGAGGAAAAGGATAAGAAAAAAAGAACTCAAGTGTGGCTTCAGAGAAACAAAGAAGGCTTCTCAAGCTCGTATCTTACACACGGCAGGCATATACCATCCCATATGGGGATCTCAACAGCTATAACACGAGGATCATACTTCAGGGATATTCCTAGCACGTGCCTGGAGCTCATCTATCAAGCAGTTCCACAGTATTTGGATTCATGGGACAGTAAGATTTAGTAACTTATGTTTATTATGTTATGTTTGTAGAAATAGTTAATTAAACTTCAATTAACTTTCAAAGCAACAATCACACAGCAGTATAAGGTAGGTTAAAAAGGTTATAGAAAGAGGAGGATCAGTGTAAATTCCTCAATATGGTCTTAAGACGAACTGGAGGAGACGTATTTCAAATATAGGAAAATTCGTTTTTGAACGTCTCCAAATAATCCAAAATCAAACGAATCATTTTTGATGTGCATATGTAGGCGATATCAGAGAATGGAATTTGATAAAATTGATACGAAACCATGTAGGTACCAACATTACCCATTACTCCTCAAAATTTCACCAAAATCGACTTAATTAGATGTTATGTCCGTTCCATAGATTTGACTACAGAAATGTACAGAACCAAATTTATTCCTTCATACTTAAAAGGTAAAAGGCGATTGGGAATATTCAATTCTGAGAAGATGTGTATAGTCCGAGGTATAGAGACCTTTTTATCAAATGATTAACATCCGCCTGAAAATTCATAAATAGCTTTCTAATAGCAATTTGAGAAAATTTTCGAAATTGGCACATTTTCAATCTAGAGATCGACAAACTTTGTCTATTTAATTACGTACTAAAAACTCATAAATACCCAATTGCTTTCCACTTGAATCATGAGATAATATGTTCACAAAATCGAAAAAAAAAAGATGGTCTACAAAAATATTAAGCCGTTTGACGTGACCGCCACTTCCAAAATAAGAAAAAAAAACGAGGTTTTACTGGACAAACGGCTAAATATTTTTGTAGGCCATTTTTTTCGATTTTGTGATCATATTATCTTACGATTCAAGTGGAAAGCTGGGTTATTCATGAGTTTGTAGTACCTAATTAAATAGACAAATTTGCCGATCTCCAGATTAAAGATGCCCCGATTCCGAGAATTTTCGTAAATAAAATATTTGTAAATTACAATGAGATGAAGCTATTGATGAAATTTCAGGAGGATGTTAATAATTTGACAAAAAGGAGTCTGCACCACGGAGTAATATAATTCTTTTTTATCATCTGCTTGAGTACGAAAAGAGTGTAGAAACAAACAAAATAACTTTTCCTGAGTAAATTACGTATCTTGAAGAGGAATATTGATCTTAATAAATGAACGTGGTATGGTCAACATTACACTCTGGCCATTTTTCTCCTAACCCAATGAAGAGTCATGTTGGTACCTGCTATAACAAAATCACTCTTTTCCTGAAGTCATTCAAAGCCACTGGCAGAAAATAAATTATATTTATTACCGGGATTCGAAATCACAGTACACATGATTAAATACAAGCCATATTTCAAGCGCTATAAACAAGGATCATGCCGAAATAAAACTATCCGATACCGACATAAATTAGCATTAAACCCCTTTGAAAAAAATACTTTCGGACCACCATTAAAAATTTATCGCTCCGCTAGAGAGTGAATTCAAGGATTACTTTGCATATCCTACAAGGCAGATACCTGTTGGAAGAGAACTGGTCCTTACAGGTTGAAGAGAAATTTCTGGAGAGAGGATATTTTTTACTGCAAAATTTACAATTTCCAGTTGTTAATTTGGAGAGAGAAAAACACTTCTTCCCGTCTTTGACCTTTATCAACTAAGACCATTACTACTTTCCTTCAATGATCTTATACATTTATCTAAACTTATCGACGACCACCTTGCAAAAGCTTTTATGTGCAAAAACAACATACGTCTCATAGATAAATTTATTTTTAAAAAAATGAACTGCCAATTTTTATTTTATGAAAAAAGCAATCTATTTATTTATGTTGAACCAAATGTTTTGGTTAGTATTTTTGAAAATGAGTGGGGACAAAATTCATCAGAAAATCTCAATACAATTCAATAATCTGGCTTCTGCAGAGTGGATAAGGACTGAAAGTATTTCAGTACAATTGATATTTTCAATCAAATCATTAAAATAACATAATAACGTATATTATTTATTTTAAAAATAATAATGCTAATTTAACAATTTGTTATTTAAATAAAAGGAAGTGGGATGGTTTCGCTTTTGAATAGTATATTGCACTTTACCTGATAAGAAAATTTAAGGGCTAAGTAGGAATTCTGATTTACCATACTCGCGAAGAGATATCCCAAAAACAAAAAACAAAAATTTAAAAATCTGAAATTATAAATGTGTTAGTCATTAATGACTGCACTATCGTCCATTAAACTTTATGTCTGAGATTTAAGCACTACCAATACTTCTTACCTCCTTGAGATAATTGTGTGATTGATTTACTATCACGATTATCATTTAAATAATTATTAAATTGGTAGTTCAAAGTGATATGCACGTATGAACTAGAACGCACATTATCATTAGATAACCCTGTAATAAAAAAAAAATATGAATATTTTTCAAAACTTTTCGTAAACAAATGTATACTTTATAAAAAAATGACATGATTCCAGATTATTTTATAAAAAAATAACACTTATTTTGATTACGAACATTCCTTTCATAATTCCGAATGGTAAATTAGAAATCAGTAAATGGATGAATTATTTCTCAGCAAAAATCACAGTTTATCTGCACAAAATCCAGTTAAATTGAAAATTTTAGTTCTTACAATTCAAAAATCGACTTTATGTGTCCTTTTAAAAATTTGAAGTCAATCAAGTAACAGAATAAAAGCAGGAAAACACAGTACATAAGAGAAAAAAATAACAACTGTACCTTGAATAAACAAAAATATTCAAAGAAACTGAGGGATTATTGCCTGAGAACGACGAGTGGTCCCAAAACAAAAAATATAAAATATTCAATTACTTGTGTGGGATATGGTGCAGTCACGTACGACCACAGATAGGTCATCAACCTCTTCCGCCTCAAGATCCCCAGTTCTTTTCTTTCGGTTTCCTGTGCAATATGACTCCCAGGCCAATAATACCGCATCGTGGAGAAGAATAAACAATTCAATGAGGAGAAAAAATATGGTTTAAATAGCCCTTTTATGGATCTGCATAATCTCTAACTCATTAATGCAGATGTGCATAGTTATAAGGTTGGTAATAAAATCAACTATTAATAGGTGGCTAGGTCTGATAAATGGCACGGCTGTTTATTTTCATTCAGCTATTACAAGCTCGGATTGCAGTAAACTATGTGCTTTTTATTCACACTGTAATCATGGTTGTAAAAACATTCCAACACTTTTTGATACAAGTGTAACAACAGCAAAGGAACAGAATAATGAAATCTTAAGTTATGGAGGATATTTATTAACATTTAGTAATTGTACATAAAAAAGTAATTAATATATATATTGCAGTCCTTGGAAATCAATATCATCAAAATATTCTCCAGTATAGTACTTCTATACCCGATCTCTTTACAACAATAAATTCTTCCAGTTCTTCAACCCCTTAGGGAAGGCTTTCTCCACCTGTTGACTAGCGAGGAGCAGACGAATAAGAAAGGACGGTTAGAGACACCGTGGGAAGAGGAACCGCAAGCAGTAAACTGTTGCAGGGCTGATTGCCGCCGATGCTGCGTTAAAGTCCCTGATGAGCCTCGCCGTTCGTGATCTTCCTTTCTTCTCGGGCGTCGCTTTTTGCAAAGCCAACCCCCTGCAATTACCATCCGGCTCTTGGCAGCTCTTTGAAGGATTAATCAACTCCACCGAAGGCGCTGCGGCTATCAATCTACTCATTCAAGACCTTTCTGAGTGTTTATTATAGGTGAATGAAATTTTCGTACATAAAAAATGATAGACTCTTAACATGGCATGATGTGGCAACCATAACATCTAAGAGGCTTTCAGCAAGAATTACCATTTATCTTGAAAACAACATATTTTATTGAATCAAAATATTACTCCTGATCCTTTTTAATCCGCCGTAATTAGGCGCCTGATGACCATCAATATATGGTGAGTTTACAGTACAACATACCAGGTATTGATGTTCGCTACAAAATCTTTAAAACACGGTTTAACCATCTTGATTCTTCGCCTTTTGAAACTATTTTGAAGCTTCCATGGGTAACCATCCCCCAGCAACCCCAAGGTCGATGACGCATGAACGATCTCTGCTTCCTCTTCAGAAATATTGTTACTCTCCTCTTTTTAAAATAGAGCATGCGAATGTAAAATTGGAAAAATCGCAGATCATATTAAATTTCATTTGCTGTGATCTGTCCCGTATTTTCCCCTTGTTCTCTGTTAAATTTTCACTCCGAAAATTCAAAATGTGCTCCCCTCAAACGTTTTAATAAAACCCCTTTTGGGCATACCTGGAAGCTTCAAACTTTATTGAACAACTATTATTATAATTGTAATGAATTTTAAAAAAGACATAGGAATTGCCACCTTTCCATGATATTTTTTTCCTTTGAATCATTCACCAAAGTCCATCATCAATTGGAAGCCGGAAGATTTTTTTTTTCCTTTATCGCCCTAGTGATTTTATTATACGAAATACCCAAATATTTTAATATATATGGTTTCCTGGACTGGCCGAAGGTTGATCATTTAATAAATCAGGGATATGATTAACACATACAGCACTATATCATATAATAGAGTAAACAGTAGCAAATATTTAAATTTCCATATTATTGAATTGATCCGTCCTGAATTGGTACGGTATCTATGGACTGGATTATAAGTATAAAAGAGATAGTCAGATCGCGTGATAGAATCCAAAAGCTGGATCAAGATTAGACTAGCACTTGCCTGCAGTGGAGTCCGCCACGTTTATTTATGGAGGTCTCTCTGGCATATCTTCGTGTTGTTGGATCATTCCAGTACGCTAACCAATGATGTAATGAAAATTATGGAATCTAATATTGAAGTAATACCCTAACACTTTCAACGTTCCATTACTTAGCTTGAAAATAATGAGTGCTTCTATAAATGTATATAAATATTTTAAAAACATCTAGCGAGCGATAGATTAAAAACATTTTAATCCTAAAATAAAAATCCTAATTATGATGTTCATTCAGTACTAATATATACCATAAATATTGTTACCAATAGAATTTGATTAAATTGATATTTAAACTCAAAGATAAAATGTTTTATTTCTAAAAAATTAAAATATGTATCTATGATTTAAGATTATTTCTTTCTTGTCTGCTCAGAAATATTTACCAACCCGGTCCAACGTAGTTTTAAATATTCAAGAATGTTTAAAAGTTTATGGATGATACTTACCAAACTTTTGAGAACTATCCTACGTTAGACAGAACTGAACTAAGCAGATGGTATCGTTTGGCATCTTGCCATTGTCGAATACAATTAGTGGGTTATCTCGTTTATATTATTTATTTATACGATTATATACCAGTCTAAATCTCAGGTTATAATCCTTTCTAGTTTTTTGTTTGTTTTTTTTACTCATAGGATAGATATTAACGTACATTTTAATATTTATCAAATTTATTATTTAGGTATTATAGGTGAAGAAGAGTGTTGTGTAAAGGGTATGAAAGCAATTGTCAGCGAATTTTACTTTTCTATTCTAGAGGCAATTTTTTGGAAGTGCAAGGTTCCAAAATAATAAAATAAAATATAAGTGTTTTTTTTTTCCTCGGTACATTCCTCTGGTCAACCTTCACACTCTAATCGCAATAATGTAATAACCTGTTGGGAAAAGCGTCAGAATATCGAAATACAGGAGGACGCTAAAAAAATAAAAATAAAGAACTGTCCGTATTAATATCTATTTTCTAGCCTACATTAAAATCTGTAAACGTTCGAAAATAAATGGTACAAAATAATAATAATCTTATTCAACGCCGATCCCACTTAAAAAATGCCTCGTCTCGCACATCTGTCATAAACAAGATAAGACTCGAAAGAATGTGGCACTCTTGTATTTATTGAATTATTTTGGAGTGATATATGCTGTATTCATTTCATTGGTTTTATTTAGATTGTTTCGGTAAAGTATATCTCACTCGACATTAACTATTAAATTATTAAGGATAATTTTTCGGTTGTGCAGGTAAGATTTTTCTTCTTCAGTTTTATTGCTCCACTGACTTTAGCACCAGTGACGCGGTTAAGAGAGTAGCGCAGGGATCTCTTGTAGTCCTGCTTTTCCTTCAATAGTTGGAGGGAGAAGCCTGGCTTTGGATTCCCTACCTGATAGTATATGTTGTATATAGGTATGACTGTGTTTTTATGTTTTTAATTTACTTATTTTTAGGTTATTTAATTTTTTTATTGTACGTAACTTTCTTAATTATTATTTAACTTTTGTTAATTTTATATTTTCTGTATATATGGAGTGAATGTATTGTATATAGGTATTGTATTTATCACTACAATCATTGTCCACGAGACAGAATATTATATATCTAAATAAATAAATAAATTTAAAAAAATTTAGATTGTTAATATAATAAATTTGTTATCTCTGGTCTGCATTTATTTAACCTTTGATCTTTATTGATAATACATAACCATCAATAGGAAACGTTGACTGGTTTGTTAACTAATGGTATACGAAAGAAATTTGAAACTTACGTTTGGAACCTAATAATAAAATATCATCATTATAATTCTACTTTTGTTTACTTCAATAAATAAACACAAAATAACACATATAAAATCAAAAGAAGTAAATTATTTACCCTGCAAGATCTGCAGGCACAAGCGCAAGAAAATATCCTGACGAAGAGACAATCGCCTGCAGCATCAGGTAACTGGGTCAGGAGGGACCTGCAGGACTGGTTCCTCACCTAGAGTCCTGTCTTTCTTATGGCTCCTTCCAGCGGCGGATCTCCAGGGCCGGATCACACACGACTTCGAGATATACGGGCCTCGGAAGGGACTTCGCTATATAGGCAGGCCCTTATGAGGAAGGAGTTGATAAAGCCTTTGAAATTCTAATCCGATGCCGGGGTACCGTGAGAGTGGAGTACGCACAGCGCGCCACCTTTCTCCGGGCATTTCTGGTCCATATTAAGTGGTTCCTCCTGTTACCAGGTGCACTTAGTATTCCCCGCCGCCACCGGGGCAGGCTGTGCTATGCCTAAAACTGTCGACGCCGCACACAAATGGTCTCATTGATTTACGTAGAAAGACCTGAAAATTATTCAGCTCGACGCCTATTTTATGGTGCGAAGGGAACTTAAATTCCTCGAGTCGGACCTAATAACCTTCATTTTTAAAAACAACGATAACTAATCTATTCTAGCTTGGATTATAAAATAAGTATAATATTGAAAGCAATTTAAGATTAAACATAAATATAACGTATGCTGACGTTTCGAACTAAGTAATGAAACATAAGTCTGGTGGTAAGACGACTTTAATTATTTGGAAGCAGTTATATTTATTCAACTGGTCAAATAAAAGTCAACTGGTGAAATATTAAAGATTAAAAAAATAATATAATCTATTTTAAACTTACAGATCGCTGATATGTATTTCAAAATGCGTCACTTACCTGAAACAAAAATAAAATTCATTAATTATATACAATAAAAATAATAGTAATATAACTAATAAAGTGCAACAGAAGTAATCTTACTTATAAGTTATTTTACACAGAACTATTGAGAAAAACTACTCAACACTGTCACATAATATAGGAATTGTTTAAACAAAAGTGAAAAAATTGATGACAAAAAAGCTTTGGATAATAACGGTCACAGTTATATTACCAACTCATTTAAATCGTATGAAGTAAAATTATTATTTTATATTTTTATTCTTATTGTTTTATTAGTCTATTTCGAGGCAATATCCTCATTTTACAAATTTACATATATATCATTTTTCTACAAGAAAAATCTTTTTAGACTTTCCAGAAAACCTTGAAAAAAAAAATTAAATATATTTCATACGATCACAATGAAAACCGGGAATTTATATTGAAAACCATTATTATCTAATGCCACGACCATTTCACTCTTGCTTTTTTGTCTTTTTTTCCCCTAAATCTTTATAAAAATAAATAACATTCTTTAGTAGTTTTATCAGAATTTCATTGGTCTGTGTATAATGGTGTATCTATAATGTAGTTAATCATTTTTAATTATGAACATTTTTCAACAACTAAATCATCATATTTTTTCGTTCCAGAATTGATCACAATGAAACATTATACGAAAGATCTTATTTTGCTATCTACCATTTTTTTTTTAAATTGAACTGTTGTCGCAGACCATACAAATATTCTTGTGGGTTGGGTACCAGTTGAAAACTCCTGACTTAAGGCAGCAATATTTTTAATTCAATATATTTTGGAACATAGCGAGCTTTTTTAAATATAAATCCAGGATTCCACTTCTATCATCGACGAAACTTGAGCAGCCACGAAACCTCATGGAATGCCACCCATGGATTCCTGCCTGGCCATAAGCGGAAGCAGTCCTTGCACTTGAGCCAAGACACGGAGGCAGCCACGCCTGCCCCAGAAATGAAACGTCACTTCAGTTGAAAAACAGTATGCATTCCACCCTGCCCTGCATCGGCGTAACGAGCAGCTATCCCTTGTTATTCATGTGACATATGCCCGGGACGATGTCCCGCCTATCACCAACACGGGCACGTACTCCATTGACCGTTATCTGGGCTGATAATCTTTGCAAACGTTTCTATACACTCCGCAGTTCCAGCTCTTTGTGGGAACAGCATCCCACGAAGTGTTCCCGGCATAACTGTCCCAAAGTGAGCGGAAGTTTCTACCTTCTGGAACAGATCAATAGAGGGAGGCTTCCCTAATCCTGGTATCTTGCCAGAGCGGTCGGAAATGGAGAAAAACAACCGCGCCGCTATGTCTGATATTGCATCCTTAACCCGAGGACCTAAGTGGTATCTTTTAATAAATCTTGGACAAACAAATAAAAACCAGAAGTTAATGAATATGCACACTAAAGTTGAACTTTAATAACCACAAATAAATATTCATTTCACATGAAATCAAATTAAACAAAAACCATCGACCATTACTATCATAGGACGCTTGCGAGGTTTGTCAAGAATAGATAACGAAGAAAGACCAGACGTTTTATAACAAGAAATGATGTAGATTCTAGGAAAAAATTCGGACAAGAAAGAACGTACTCAAGAGAAATAGATGTCCAAATAGCTGCAAAATAATTATGTAAATTATTGATTAATGTTATTTTATATTATAAACTCGCCAAAAATTACACTAATTCCATAAAATGGCTTATAATTTATGTACTTATAAATTCAAATAGAAATAAAATCATACAATAATAATATATATCTCAGTCAGGTACCTAAATTAGAGGCCTATGCCAAAAATATTATTAAAATATGAATAGTTGTCTCCTAAAGTTAAGTAGTCTTCGAAGTCCCATTTCAGAGAAAAACATTTTTTAAAAAATTTCACGATCGCAATACTTTTCCTAACTATATATTACATATATAGGTAAATGAAAATAAAAATGCAATACAAATAAAAATTGGATAAAAGTTAACTGTAAAATTTTAATTGAAGACTCAGCATCATTAGCGGGCTAAGTGTCAAAACTATTGAATGATCGTGGCATTTAGACTGTTAGGAATGACATTCATCTTGTCTAATATTGTCTAACTCATTTATTAAAGAAGACACCCAACCCGTTATTGAAGACATTTGGTGTTCGTGGTTATCAAATACAGAACCGGAATTTTTAGTCTTATTTACCCAGAATTATACCAATGGCCTATGGCAAATTAACATTAAATTGATTAATTTTTGAGTATGCATACAAAGATAAAAAAAAGTTTTGGTAGAAACATAAAATCGCTAGCCACATTTTCAAGAGACAAACAGCTTGTTTTTTTCCCCCATAAACCATGTTGAAATTTGTTGTGATCATTCGACGAAATAATTTTAATATGGTCAGATTCAAAGCAGAAAATAATATCGACTCAAAATATGGCACCAAATTTCTCCATAAAACTACTATAACACTTAAAATTTTGTCGGAATTTAAAAAAAAAAAATGTTGCAACGACTGTACTTTCGGGATGAAAAAGGAGGACGCGGGTCTCAAATTTTGTAATATTTATTCATTTTATTGATAACTATATACAACATGCTACTCAGACCAATATGGACATATGCCTCTCAGGTGTGGGGTTCATGCAAAAAAACACACTTACAGACTATTCAAATTTTCCAATCAAAATTTCTCCGTTATATCACTCATTGTCCCTTCTACATAACCAATAAATCACTTCATAAAGACCTACAAACACCACAAGTGACTGATGTAATTAAAACATATTACAAAAATGTTCATGACTCCCTAGCTGGACATCCTAATCCACTTGTACAAACATTACTAACGGACACACTACCACAGAATCCACCAAGGAGACTCAAACGCCTCTGGAGCAGGGACCTGCTGCATTAAGAGTCACATTAGGAGTGCCTTCAGTGGGAGGCTTCTCCAATTACGCATACACGCTAATCCCGAAGAGGAGGTTCGCTAACGAACATCACATTTACAAAATATGGCAAAAGGCATTTGTAAAATTACTCAATAAATAAATTTATTATTATTATTATTTTATTGATAGTAAAAGTAGGGACATCACTTTATTAAAATAATTTCAAGTTAATCAAACACTCACAGGAAGCTGTTGAATGAGCACGACCGGCTCTAAAAAACATTCTCTGATATTCTGTATAATGACTATAAAAAACACAAATTAAAATCAGAAATGAAAAAAAAAGGAAAAACCCAAGCTTGAAAATTCGTTTTTTAAGATACAAATAAATATGTGTAAGTCAGTCTGACTCAAGATCGAATTCAGATGCTTCTGTGTCTACACTACATTCCAATGTGTGCAGGAAAAAACAAATTACGCTACTTCACAATATATCTCTTTTTCAAGATATCTGGAAAGCGAAGGAAATCCTAACAATGAAAATCATAAACGAACTTAAAAAAAAATCCAACAGAGAAGAAAAAAAAAAAACGAACAGTTCCCAACAAGAATGTACAATTTTTTACGAAGGTCGTGAAGAAGGGTAGTCGGGAACACCAATTACAACACAATGCCATTTTTTTTCCTCGCCAAAAATGCATTTTTCCTCTATTATATCAAGAGGCAGCCAAGAATGCAGGAAATTCCGGTCG